GCCCCGGAAGTTAGCTTTCCAATGGCGAAAACCTTGCATTAAAATTCCTCCTGTGGAAAAAGTTATGCCCATTTTGGTGAAGTCGCGCAGATTCGATCCAACCGGAATGATACCCAACTTCAACCAATCATATCTCCCCCACCCGGACTTGGCTCTAGGATATTCTTGAATGAAAAATGAAGCCCCGGAAGTAAGCTTTCCAACAGTGGTGGCCTCATAGCTAAAATCGACGTATGCAAATGAATAAGCTCGATTGAACGAGGGCTGCTCAACTCTCTCTTACCCGGATTCATGTCGAACTTCTCCCAAACTAGTTTTCTCCTCTCCTTTCCTCTTTCCTTCAACTCCAAATCCCTAAACAAAGTGTTTTGAAAGATTTTTCAAAGATTTCACATCTCTTTCATTCATCTCCAACTTGTCCTTGCTCGGTTTACCGAAAAGCGCAACATTTACCGAAATGTGAGCGTCGGAACATTGTAGAAACTTTATTTCAAAAATGTTTTGAAAGAGAGGGTTTTAAAGTCTAAAAACCATCCAAAATAACTTTGGCCCAAAATGGGGTGTGAAGTTGAGATTTGTCTCTCTCCTCGCCGAAGAAACTGAACCTTTGCCCTACACACCTTTCTCTACCAAGTAAACCATCAGTAACGCCCAAGTCTTGAGGGCGGTCAAAAATGAGGTGTCTACAGATACATAACTGTAAAATTGTTTGAGAAAGAGTTATAACAAACTCTAATTGATTTGAATAAATAAGTGTAAACACAAGTTGATTCATTCATTGAGAATTCATTTATGACTTTTGTTAAAACGGAGCGCTAGATAAGAGGAAGGAGCTGTAGACCCTAAACGCAGTTAGCGCCATCAAATTGGGCAGAGAAGGAATTGTGAATGGGAGAGTAATAAAACCTCACTGTTTCACCTTCCTCCACTTTATTCATCTCTGTAGAGGCAATCCATTCACACGGTGTCAAGAACTTTCTTTGATCAACCCCATTCTCTTCTGAAGGTCCCAATATCTTCCAGATGGATCCCACACATCCATGATAGCATTGTTGTTCTCGGGTAAATAAGCTACATGTTCGGTATCTCCAAGGTGTAGGTAATATTTGTGTGGGAGAGCACCTTCCTAAAGCAATAATATTCCATATCCATTCTTGAATTAATTCTCCAACACCTAAATAAATTAAAGAATGTGATGAATTAAATGTATAAGCGAAGAATAACTTAAATTAATCCAAAAAGAAAAGAAAAGAAAATATACAATAATAAACAAAAATGAAATGATAGTCTTAAGTCACATGCGATATCACCAACCAATGATATTGGTATCACCATTATATTTAAATTTTTTTGATAGGAAAGAAAATGGTACAGAGCCAAAACACATGTTGATTGACTGACGTGGCAAATTCGATGTTGTAAAATTATTTGATTTCCTTTTTATTTCTTCTTCCTTCCTCCAATTAGTCTAGCCATTAAAAATTTTAGCCAGAAAAATTATATGTGTTGACCAGATTCAACTCTTGTATATATATCAAAAGGCCACACACTATTTTTCAATTTCTCTCTAAAAGTTCGATTAATTTTTTCCTAGTATCTCTTGAATATCCTAACTAGGTCTCCTAAAATTCCTGAAAAACACAATATATACTTCAATAAATTTTCCAATTTCTCAACTCTAGCAATTATTATTTTTTAAAAAACCTTTGATATGAAAAAAAAAAAAACCTTTGAAAAAAAAAAAAAAAAAAAAAAAAATATGATATACGCATAAAGTGGAGTGAGTGGGGGTATGTACAAGAACTCAGGAATAATTCACCATATGGTTGCAAGAGCTTCATCAACAAAGAAAATAAAATAAAAAATAAAAAAAGGGAGAGAGAGATCACTTTTGCTTCCTCTTTATCTTTGAAACTTATGTCTAAACTCAGACGTTGGGTAGTATTTATATAGAGGGAAGAAAAATAGTGGTCGGTGTCAATGCAATTTTGCGATTTCTTTCTTCTTAAAATTTTTGTTTTGAATGGGTCAATCAATGTTCTTCTGATTATATAATATTATCCTAACGAAAAGCAGTGACTAGACATGAATAGGTGGTTGGTTGGTTGAGGGTCGTTCTCATTGATGCCGTGAGATCTAAGCATGTGAGACTACTTTTTGTTTTTTTAATAATATATATTTTTGGGTTTGTTTTTGACCAGTGATAAGACATGAATGATTGATTTAGGGTGACCAGTGAGTTCAGTATAACATTAAAAAAATCGAAAAAAAATTTAGTAATATTTTTTTTTTCTTCAAATTACATCATTTTTTTTTTCATTTTTCAGGACTGTTTCATTCTTCTTCGAACTATGATTAGTGATTAGACATGGAGGATTGGTTTAGGGTGGTCAATGAGATCAGCATAAAATTAAAAAAGTCAATTTTTTATATTTTTTTCAAATTACATCTTTTTTTATAAAAAAATTCAAGTCTATTTTGTATAAACGAATTTAAAAATTAAAAAAAAAAGTTCAGGGAAGACAAAATTAAAAATAAAAAATTCCAACTATTTTATATTTTTTTTTCAAAATTTTTAAATTATCTTTAAACATTTGTAATCGGTCTAGTCAACTATAATCTAAGTAGAATTTTATTTTTATTTTTAAAATGTACAATAAAGATGAAAAAAGTTGAAAATATAAATTGTATTTTTTTTTTCTACATTATTTATATATAAAGGAGATAATCACAATTCAAATTTGGCGTGTGTCATTTGTTGCTTCTCTCATTTTGGGTCGTGCAGTTTTGTTCGCTGAATGACGCGAATAAAACATCAACAATCAATGACACAAGCGAAAAAGATCATTAAGGGAATAAACCTTTGTATCCCAAATGCATAAACGACAAAAAAAAAAAGAAAGAGTGGTCATGAGACAAAAATCAATGTTCACTAAATAGTGCTTCTCATACATGTGTATTTTCTAAGAAGAGTTTCAGCAAAGTGCAAAAATATTACAAAAAGCTATTTGATCATCCTGAGGTATGTCGTATTGTTTGAGAAGTTAACAAAATAGTAGTCAAAAAATTATTAAAAAAGTCAAAATTAATAAATTATATAAAAAGTTAAAAATTTTATTTTCTCTTTACTTTTTATATATTTTTCTCATCAAAAATTAAAAAATTATTTCAAGTATACTAGTTTTTTTTAATCTCATATTTTAGTCAAAAAATCAACAAAAGTTATTAAAATAATATGTTTCCAAAATAAGACATCATTTTGTTTGGTTTGAAAATTTTAAAAATAATTCTTTTAATTTGTAATTTTTATTTTTTATTTTAGTAAAAAAAATTATATTTTAATTAATTTATTATAATTTTAAATTTACTAAATCTAGATACATTTAAAAATATAAAATTTGTGTAATTTTTTTTTTAAATTCATTAAATACAGATATATATATATATATATATATATATATATATATTCTCTACATTTTTTAAAAAAATGATAAAAATTTTTACAAAGTACCTAATTACCTGTGAAAGCAATAAGTTGGTCATTTTCACTTATGGTTCTTTGGGGTTGACTTTTAATGACATTTGATCATGGTCATATGCTCAGATTCTAAACTACTGTCTAATTTGAGCAAGATGAGACATCTGGATCTAAGTGGTAATCATTTTGACAAGGATGCCTTCAGAATTTTGGGTGCTCTCCCATCCCTTAAGTTTCTATCCTTAGTGTTCAATCAAATGGAAGGACCACTTTCTAACCAAGGTATGTGTATTTTTTATTTCTCAAATTCATGCTACTTAAGTTAATTTTTTAAGTTCCATTTGAGTGTTGAGAACACTTAAAATAGTTGGAAAAATTAAGTCTTACAGCTAGCAATTTTGTGCGAACTTATAGTTCTTTGTCAAATATATCTTTCTGGAATCTATTACTGCCATCAATGGCATCACTGTCCTTAAATTTTTTTAACATTACATTTTCATTTGAAGTTGAGCTACTAACTGAGGTGCCCATAGAATATAGGTCACAACATCAAATTATATTTATCTCTATTTTCTTTATCTCAATCTAATTAACGAGTCTCTTCACCTGGGTTACAGAATTGACTTATAATCTTAGCAATTTGGAGGTCCTCCTCCTCAGAGGAAATCTGCTCAATGGAACACTACCAATGGAAGGCAAGAATTTTGTTATTTATATTGTCTCAGGATCACCTTGCAATCTTGATTGTATTTTGTTGAGTTCTCTTGGCTCTATTTTACCTTTATCATATGTTTTGATAGGTTTGACATCCTTCCGCCATCTTTAGATCTTAGATTTGAGTCAAATTCATATTAAGTAATTAAAAAATATAAAAAAAAAAAATTGATTGATAAAAAATATAATCATATAATATTTGGAATAACTCCCCCCCAAACAAATAGATGTATGTGTCACATCATAACCTCACCTCGTCAATGAAAATTGTTCCGAAAGTTTCATATGTAACAAAGACTGATGATGCCGGACAAGATATTTACGGTGCAAGATGCTTGTCACAATCAAGTTTTTAAAATGTCAATTTGTTTGACTTTCACTATAGGAAAAAATAGATTTGGTGGCGCTTTTTCAACGACGTTTTTTTAAATGTCATTGTTATTAATATTTAACGGCGTTTTATAAACGTCGCATATTTTATTAAACAAAACGACACCGTTTTATAATGGGAGGCGCTTAAAAATGCCTCCAAATGCGGTACGCACATGCGCCTCCTTTTGTGAAAGTGAAACCTTATTTTGAATCAGACCCTTTCTCTCTCTCTCTCAACCCTTAATACACACGCACAGATCTCTCTCTCTCTCTCTCTCTCTCTCTCTCTCTCTCTCAACCCTCTCTAAGCACCATCAAAGATTCAGATCGAAGCGATTTCGAAGCTCCTGAAGGTTCAGATCTAAGCTTCAGCGAAGATTTAGATCGAAGCTCCATCGACGCGGTTTTGAAGATTCAGATCAAAGATTTCGAAGCTCCATTGAAGTTTCAGATCTAAGCTTCATCGAAGATTCAGATCGAAGCGATTTCGAAGCTCCATTGAAGTTTCAGATCTAAGCTTCATCGAAGGTTCAGATTGAAGCTCCATTGATGCGATTTCGAAGCTCCATTGAAGCGATTTCGAAGATTCAGATCTGAACACTGACCCCTCGATTACTCGCATTTCAAGTTCCAATGGTGGCAAATAGTCTACTTTGTTTCTGAACTGTAATCGGTACTCTCTCTCTCTCTCTCTGTGTCTAGATATATTATATAAACAAGGTTTGGTGGTTCAAATGCAGAATTTGTATGGCAGGTTTAGGGAGACTAGGTGCCTAGTTATTTATTCACATCCAGAGATGTTTTATAGTAGTAAGGCTTTATGTTTGATAATCCTGTTAAGCAGTTAAAACTAACGAGTTTTTTATTTAATTTTTTGTTTATGTTTTCTGTAGATGACTGCACACCGTGCCTTCCAGTTCTGCAAGCAATACAAACGCACAACAGAGTTTCGCAGGCTATGTGAAATCATCAGGAATCATTTGGCCAACCTTAATAAATACAGAGACCAGAGGGACCGACCTGATCTATCAGCTCCAGAAAGCTTGCAATTGTATCTTGATACAAGATTTGAGCAGTTAAAGATTGCAACCGAACTTGAACTCTGGCAGGTCTGCGTATTTGGTTATGCTTGAGAGTAGAGAAGTGGTAATGTTCAATTGGGTATGCTTTCATGTTAATTTCTACATATATTTTTGGGAGACAGTTTGCCAATAATCTGAGTGTGATTTGGGTCATAGTTTCATCCATTCTGTTGTGTTGTCTAATTTTACACTCAGTTATTATTTTATTGACCTTTTCTGGTTTGATTTTGCTTTAATCTCTGTAATAGAACCTGATAATTTCTTTTCTGGATAAATGGAGGTCGAAGTTAGAAACATATGATGCTCCTAAGTTTTGTCCAATCTTTTGGACAACCTCCATTGTGAACAAATTGGGAATGTTCTTGGAGAAATGACTTGATCAGGTTTCTGACTGGAATATTTGGTTCCTGCAGGCACATGAATTTCCATGCTTGAAAGAAATATCTGGGATTTCACAAGACCTGTCAATTATGATTCTGTGCCTCATTATCAAGTATGAATGTTCTGTTAACAGTTTAAAACCATTAAATTATGTATTGAGTAGATTTAGGGTGTGGGGGAGTTGACATACTTAAAGAGTGTAAACGATGTGCAAATTATATTGATTGCATATGTCTTCTCTATTTTTCCTGAAGTAACTGCCAGTCCTTTAAATCTAAGACCTGTGAATCTCTTTTCTTTGGTGGAAGTAATTTTGTCTGTCTTGCAAGTGTGCTTTTAATTATTCCATTATGTGATTCATGTTGTTCAATCATGGTACTGTTTAGGTTTGCCTTTTTGATTTTTAGTGCTTGATTGGAACTCCGATTTTTCTGCATGTTAACCTCAATTTCATATATTAGCGATAGACATATTTCTTGCATGATGATGTTATAAGCATTTATTCTTTGGATGTATTTTTTTTGTTCTTTATTGATTACAAAGGAAGTGTATCCATATACTTCCCTAAATTTAGGATTCTTGTAACCCAAGAGGAAGGTTAGGGCCAGAACCCCATATCAAAATTTTAGCTTTGTGTATTCTGAGAGAGTGTGGGTGGGTTTTTGAGGAGGAATAACAGGTTATATTCATGAAGCATCGAGAGGCTTGTTTTTGCCCTACATTAATGTCATTATGTGACAGATACTATGTGTTTGGGTCTACAGTCTATTTGTGGCGTCACTGCCATTATTTATCTTGATCTGCACTGAAAGAGCTGGGTCTATAGAAAGAAATTATCGGACAACCAAAACCAGATTTATGAACATCTATTTTAGTTTGAATGTGATGCATTGAGAGATCATGTATAGTTAATATGAATGCCATTAGAAACAAAGCCTGCTCTTTTTCCAAATGAATTTGATGGAACGTGAGACATTGTGCCATTTCTGGAGGTGGGCTCTGTCATCTTTGCTCTTAGTTGGAAGGATTTCCACAGAACTCAATAGATCACATGTCCTGTCATACATCATTTATGGAATAGATATGTAGCGATTTGTATAATCTTCTGGAAGCAAAATCATTTGAATGCTAATGAAATGGGGGTTGGGTTTAACTTCATTTTTTCTTTAATATTTTTGGGTGTTGTAGACGTCCCTCAAACGCGCCGGGAGGGTGAGTCCCGTTCTGTTTATTTGGGCTCACTACAGTTCGGACTCTCAAATTGTCACGGTTCTAAATCTGAACCAAAGAGTCCAAATCCGGCAAATCGTTTTGAGAAAACAGATTTTGAAAGAAGTGCCAAACATGGACTGTTTTGCCAGATACAGAGTCGCCACCTAAATATTTTATTTTTGGGAAATTTAGGAAACCCTGACTCGTTTGCCTAAGGCCACGTGTCCGTCATCACCAAAGTTGCCTCTGCTCGGGAACTTGGGTACGATTGGGGAAGGTCACTTCATGAGCACCCCCGCTCGCCCGATCAAATATCGGCCTCCACTAACCATGATATCTATTTTTGAAAACATTATGCGTTCTTATTCCGGTTATTAACCTAGATTTACTATGTGATGCGCACAACATACAAGTATAGACTGGGTCGCCTGAATTGGAACAAAATATTTCATTTTTGTTTGTTCGAAATTGGTTTGATGGTGCTACCCGCAAGTAAGCTAAGACATGGATTTGCCGCCCTCAGGTGGGCTTAGAAAAACATGATTTTTGCCACTATCTAGTGGGCTTAAAACACACATTTGATGAATTGTTCCAATCCAAATAACCCAACCTTCACCCACAGGCATTCAAGCAGTTATATCATATAAGCATATAGCCTCATGGTAAGCATGCTATCATGACAGTCACTCACACGCATGCAAGGATGCTAAAGCATAAAACTTACCGAGTACTCCAAGCCAAAACAGAAGCTAATTAGAAATCTATGCATGATCCTAATTATACAGAAATGCCAAATGCAGCACATGCAAAAATGCAACTATAGCAGGCTCGGCTATTCTAGACATGGCATATGAAATGCTACAGCTAACATGTATTCAACTTTGAATTAAAAATACAATGCAGTTAGTATGATGCGCCGAGCCCGGTGCATGCAAAACAGATGAATGAATGTAAACATGTTGTCATACTGTATGCTAATTGAAACATGTCCTAATCTAACCATCATAAGCGGGTAAATAAAAGGGAGAAAGACGTGGGGTTGGAAGACATACATCACATACACGCACACTTATTACAGTTGTGCCCTCGTGCAGAGGGTCCAAATAAATAATATACAGTCCCAAAGGAATAATTACAGTCTGAATAAATACAGAATCCTAATTAATTAAGAAATTAATCTAAGAAAGTGATAAATTGACATGCAAACCAGGGACTGCCTCAAATCTGCTCTGGATGATGAATGATGCATGCTCGGGTTGCCTTGTGCGGAGAATCCCTTGCGATGCCCCAGTTTGCCTCTATTTGCAGTTGTTCTTGGAATGCGTGCCAAGCTCCGGAAGGCTGCCGATTTTTGATTTGCTGCAACAGAGAGCAACAAAGGGACATGGCAAAGTATTTTCACATATGTATGCATGACTACTCTTCAGGGAGTGTAGTCCTCGATCCTCGTGCCACCAATCACGCATATCGATGCATGATGGCCGAGGAGTCGAATTGCACGACTCAATATGAAATGAATGCACATATAAACACAACAAGACCTAAACTCCATCATGGATAATCTAGAGTGTCGGTGACTGGGAATTGAGACACGTTCCGTCACTCAGAGTACGAAACGTCCCTCGTTTCCCGTGCTCGGGCTAACTCCTATCCCAAACACAATGCAATATGCATGAAATGCAATATGCATGACATGCATGAATGCAACTAATATACAACCTAGCATGCACAATGCTATGAAACGGCATACACGATGCACGAGGTAACATGGCATATACAATGTGCTAACATACAACCTAGCATACACAATGCTATGAAATAAAATGGCATACACAATGCACAATGGACTTACACCAACATGAGTGGACCTCATCCACACGCACATAAGTAGCCATGAGATGAAAATGAGACACTCGAAATGCGTGCACACATGCACACAAACCGAGGATCAAGCCTAAGACACAAATGCCACTCTAACAAGGCATGGCAAGGCACGAAATATGGCATACAAACATGCAAGTTTCAGCACTGAAATGTGATACAAAATGACCCCGAAACATGGAAACATGGCATCCGATGCATGGAATGGCCCCGAAACACAAAACTAGGCATACGCATTGGCCTATAGCTATACAAAACATGCATTATTTTATCATGAAGCATGAAGACAGATGCAAAACAGTCCCAAAACATGCATATTTCCAGTTTATAACAAGCCTAAAAAATGAACACAAATAGGGCTAACCTATCATGCAAAAGAGGCCCTAAAAGAGAGGTTAAACATGAAGGAACAGCAGCTGGCCCCAAATGGAAAAGAGCCCTTCAACAAAGTTGAATAGGGGCTCAAAACAAGTCACTTTACAGTTTAAATCAAGCCACGAAAATAATCACAAATAAGGCCAAACCATCATGCGAGAAAAGGGCCTAAAAGAGGGGTAAAGAGGCAAGTGGTAGCTTCTGTTCTCAAACAGAGGAGAGCCCTTCAACAATGTTGAATAGGGGCTCAAAAAAAGAGGTTTTACAGTTTATATAAAGATCCAAAACAACTCACAAATAGGCCTAAAGTACTATGCAAAAATTGGCCTAAAAGAGAGATAGAGAAGCAAGTGATAGCAGGAGGCCTCAAACAGAGGAGAGCCCTTCAACAATGTTGAAGAGGGGCTCAAAACAAGCTATTTTAAATTTTATGGAAAAGTCCAAAACAACTCAGAAATAGGCCTAAAATACTATGCAAAAATAAGGCCTAAAAGAGAGTTAAAGAAGAAAGTGATAGCTGGAGGCCTCAAACAGAGGAGATCCCTTCAACAATGTTGAAGAGGGGCTCAAAATAAGCTATTTTACAGTTTATTGAAGAGTCCAAAACAGCTCACAAACAGGCCAAAAATACTATGCAAAAATAAGGCCTAAAATAGAGTTAAAGAAGCAAGTGATAGCAGGAGGCCTCAAACAGAGAAGAGCCCTTCAACAATGTTGAAGAGAGGCTCAAAAAAAGATATTTTATAGTTTATGGCAGAGTCCAAAATAGCTCACAAACAGGCCAAAAATACTACGCAAAAATAAGGCCTAAAAAAGAGTTAAAGAAGCAAGTGATAGCAGGAGGCCTCAAACAGAGAAAGACCCTTAATCAAACATGAAAAGGGGCTCAAAATATGACTATTTAGAGTTAGGGTCGGAGCCCAAAAATGCAAGCAATTAAGGCTTATATACAAAGAAAAAAAAAGACTAGAAAATGGAAGAAAGTGCCTCACCATTGTAGACCAATGCTCCAACAAATTTTGAGCCAAGTTTGGGAGTTCTTCACCTCTGGAAAGCAGCTTCAAGTTGCTGGAATGGAGGATGGAGGTGTGGTGCTATGAGGTGGTGTAGAAATGGTATAAGAGCAAGGTAGTTTTGAGGGTTGGAATAGAGGAAGAGAGAGATTGAGTGCAAGGGCTCAAGACCAAATTTTTGTAACCCCTCAAAATGCAGCTGAAGGGCTGGTTATATAGGCAAAGGAGGGGAGGAAAAAGGGGGGAAATGAATTCAAATTTCCCCCCAAAAGGGCACCCCCCGGATACAGGATCTGAGGGGAAAAAGAGGTCACAGTTGGAAGGAACAGGGAGTGGCGGTCATGGCCGGCCAAGTTTTGGGGGTTCAGGTGGTCGGCCGACCACCTCCCATGGCCGGCCGACCAAGCGTCAAAGGGGTCAAGCAAAATTACTAGTCGGCCACCTCAAAAAGGTGGCCTCCCATGTGTGCACAACACAACTATGTGATTGAAACCCAAAAATGGTGAACCAAGAGAGAGAAAAGGCCAATTTTTGGAGGGGGTTAAAAGGGTCAGGCACAATTACTGGTCGGCCACCAAATATTGGTGGCCTCCCAGGTGTGTACATCACAA